TCAATAAAATTAAAAAATTTCAATCTACTAATGGTTTAATATAAAAAGCCATCTAATGTAGTTTTTTCAAATAGTTAGTTATAAACCATTACATAAAAATTTTTATCAAACACTTAATTTTTAATGGTTTTGAAATGAACAAGTTTATCAAACACTAACAATTTGGGCAAAATCACTAATTGCTACTTTTAAATCATTATACCAAATGAACTATAAGTTCAAAATGACATTGTTTTGTATGGATTTCGTGATGCGTGAATTTCAATACAATGTTTGATTTATTGTTAGATATATATGCATTACACTCAAATCACTTAAATAGAACTAATTAGTCCTAGATAAATTATCAACTATTAATTTTCAAAATCTAAAAATCACATTAATTGTTTTAATTTTAAAATAAATAGTTGATAGTTGAATTAAAACTTACTCCTACATACCTTAAGCATATTCTAACTCATGATATTTTGAATTACCTTATTCATACTATATATTATCATGATTAGGTCGGGTACTTCTTTCTTTCATGAGTATAGATAGCCAATGACGTACTGAGGCCTTGTAACTTTGATGTTATGAGTTCGAACCCAGTATATGATAAGTTATTTCTAGACTTTTTTTAAATTTTGGGCATTACTTAAGTAAATATTTATATTGTATAGAATTTTATATACTATATTTATATTCTACAATATATATATATATAAAGTAGAGAACTAGTTTCAACTAATGGTTTCTCTCTTGTTGCGTCAACAATCATTAAAAAAAAAAAAAAAGGGAAGGAAGAAGAGAACATCACCCACCCCTAAATGTATATTGTTATTACTCACAATTTAAGAATTTTAATCCAAGCTTTAAAATTATGCAAAATTAACAATGATAAGATCCCTTTGCATTAAGTTAACTAAAAAACAATTCAACCTGAATGGTTCGTTTTGGTCCAGTGATATTAGACTCTAGATTAGGGTTGGTCATCTCTGTGGGTGGCGTATTGGAATCCTATAAAACTCATTTTTCCCCTCCCCATATATACCTGTAAATAATATCAAAATTGTTCAAAAAAAAAAAGAAAATAAATAAAAAGATCCAACTTCAAAGCATTCCACAATCTCAAGCATTCCCCTAATTACTTTCGTTATCCAAACTTAATTCCGTTTCCCCTTTTTCCCCAAGTGGATTTCCACTTCGACAATGGAGAATCCGCACGTTGCAAAAGCGCGTGGGGAACAACTAGATATTGTTGTCCTGCCATGGGAGAATTGCACTAACTAGTTTCGGCATTCTTTTCGGGAACCGCATTTTTAAGGACAATTTTATTAAGATAATTTTTTTATATTATTTTTTAATATAATTTTTATATATTATTAAATAAATTAATTTATTTAATATTATAAAATTTACATGAATTTAAAAAAAATTATGTAAATGACATGTCAAATTATATAAAAAAATATAATAAAAAATTTATCCAAAATCATTCCCTTTTTTAAACTCTCATAGACCTTTTTGAAAAAAAAAGAAGGGAAAATTCACCAAACCGAATTTCAAACGCTGCCTTACTCAAGACCACTTTTTTCACTTTCCAATGCACCTGTATTTTGACTCACGCGCCACCACTTGCGTGTGAAATGAGACAAATTGGCAGCCACAGTGCTCTCTGGTGCTAACATCTTGAGGCCCACCCAGGGGTTTCCTGCTATATTTCCACGCGCGGTGACAGGAGCGTGTAGTTTTGCTTATTCCTACTAAAATAAAAATACTAATTTTTAGAGTATTTACATTAAATTATAAAATAAAAATTATTAAATAAACATAACACGTAATATAATAAGATTTATCTCATCGAATAATAAATATTATATACTTTAATATAATTTAAATTATACCATATTTTTTCTAATCTTTAATCATCTCCCCTAAGTACCCCCACCCTTTTTGATGGTCTCCGTTTTATTCCCTTCAAAGTCTCACCTCCTCTCTCTCTCTCTCTCTCCTAATCTCGTTTTCTTTCTCTTTCCTGTGATTCATTTCCGTCGGAATTATTTTGTTTGGCGATTTGCCGGTAGTGATGACAGCGCCGAACATGGCGACGATCACCGCGTCTTTGGAGAGGTCTTTACAGAACTGCTCTTTAAACCATCAGAGAAGCGGTGGCAGAGGCGGAGAAGAAGACGGAATAGGAAGGTCTTCATCGTCGTCGTCATCGGACGACAACAACCTCCCGAACGGAGCCTCCGACACCACGTTGGAGCTCAACTCTCACCTCTCTCTCCCTTACCATTGGGAACAATGCCTCGATCTAAAGGTTCGTTTCCTATTTTCTTCTCTTTTTTGTTTGTGCCTTCAAAACCAAGTTTTCAGTCCCTTTCGTGTTTCAGACGCAATTAATGCGAAACCATGGCAGATCTTGCTCTTTATACTTTAATAGCTTTTGTTCATCACTCCTCTTGCATTTAATACTTCCTGATTCTTGCTTTCCCTTTTCCCTTTCCCCTACACGTACTGAGATTAAAGGCTAGGGTTATCCACCTTAACCCTAAAAAGAGAAAACCTCCTCTTTTTTTTTTGTTCTCTCTTTTTCTTTCCCCTCTTTTGATTTATCTCTTTTGGATCGAAGAAATCTATATCATTAATTGATTTCTGTTGATCTTTTTACCTTTTTGACAAGTATATTGTTATTTATTTTTGGTGGAAATGTTTATTGTTAATTGATGTATAGATTTCATTGAAGAAGAAAAAGGGTGATGCCATTTCTTTGGTGGGTTTGATTTATTTGATAAACTAATCAAAAATGTCTTTAGCTTGTTTTTTTGTCTATGGATTCCACAGTTTTAATTTCTTCTAAAAAAATTCTATTTTTTTCATTTAAAATTGTCAATAAATCGAGATAGTAAGATTACTGTACAAACTTACTAATATTCAAGTAATGAGTTTTCATTTTTATATTTACAGACTGGGGAGATTTATTATATAAATTGGAGGAACGGGATGAGAGCGAAAGAGGCTCCGAGGACACCTGCCGAGCACAGTGGAGATTTTTATTCAGAGGACGATGACGACGGTAGCTCTTATGAAAGTGAGGAATCGTCATCGGAGTCTGCTCCTTCTTCTTCAAGGGACAGAGAACCTTACAACGATCGCCGGCCGGTGGATCAAGAGAAAGAGAAAGAAAAGGTTCTGGTTGTCGCCGGCTGCAAGAGCTGCCTCATGTACTTCATGGTCCCCAAGCAAGTCGAAGATTGCCCCAAATGCGCCGGTCAACTTCTCCACTTTGATCGATCCGAAAATGGATCCCCGTGAATTGGGATTTAGGTTTTCCTTCTCACTCTTTTTTCCTTTGCTTTTTATCTTTATTTTACATTTTCTTTTCATCTAAAAAAAAACCCACTTTGTGCTTCTTGGACGGTGATATATGAGATGAATGGAATTATTGTTTAGCTCTTACTCTTCCACTTAGCCTGTGCTTTGCTTTTATTTTGGGCGCCATTGATTCTCAGAAATAATACTGTTTCAAAATGATTGCAATGTGTAGTCTTTTCATTAAATTTAACTTTTGTATAAGTTATTTCTTTTGCTCCAGTTGATTGATTGATTATATTATAATTTCAATCCTTTTTTTTTTTTTTGTTTTAGTTACTTCTGTGAGATTTGGATGGAAAGTTTTACACATTGCGTTTTTATTTTTTTATTTTTTATTTTTTTTATAATGTTATATTGCAGTCTCTACATGTTGGATTGCATTTAACTTTTCTATTTTTCTTTCTTAACTAGCATTCCATACATTGTGATCACATCTCATGATTCTGATCTTTAAATCAATTCATTAAGGCTGTGGTTTTTCGTTTTTGGTCATCCATTAAGGCTGTGTGTGTGTGTTTTTCTCTTCTTCTGTTTTTTAATTTTTTTGGCATCCATTAAGGCTGTGTTTGGATGCGGCCTTTGGGAAACTTACCTTTCCGGAAAGTGATGTCTGCTTGTCTCTAGAAGATTGTGTTTTACCCAACTTGACTTTTTATATAATAGAATTATACAATAGAAAATATCCTCTCTTTTCATCTTCCCATAATTCCTTTGAAGCTTTACCCTACTTTGTTGATAGACAAAATAATAACAATAAGGTAAACTTCTTAAGAAATAAAAGGTTTAATCAGCTTAACCCCACTTGCAAAACGTGAGGTCAGTGTACCATACAGGCCCTACATCAAATAGATACAAAAACAAGTCATGGGGCATTGCGGGTAAGATTTCATAGTTTATTCAATTCAAAGATTCGCATTTAGCTATGAGGCCGTTTTTCTGCCTTTTTCTGCTAGTGTTTGTTATAGGGCCTTTGTTCTAGGGCGGGCAAATAGCCATCAATTCATTTGTTAAAGCCACCAAAATTATGTTAAGAAAATATTTTGTCTAATTTAATTGTTAACAATAGCTAGTAACTATAGAACAACTAATATTTATTGGGTAATAATTGATACGCCCTCTAATTCAACATATTCTTTGACACACTTATTAAGAAACTATTATTTTCAAATTTGAATTTAAGGCGGAAAAATTTTCAAAGTCAAAATTTAATGACTGAACTAATAGCTATTGGTAAGTATATTAAACCGAAGAGTATACCAATTATTTTTCATATTTATTATTTAATAAATTGAAATCATTTTATAAACTAATATTTTTAGACATCATAATCATCTGATTATAAATGGGTAGGAATAGACGTCTTATCTAATATGTTTCCAAGATTGTATTTACTTTCAACAGGGAGACAATATCCAGTGAACCAAATGGGCATATGGGAAGATGGCAGGTGGAGATGGAAGTTGAAGTGGAAACGAGACCTTAGGGAGTGGGAAAAAGTGATGGAAAAAGAGTTGTTAGATGTAATCACACCGATTCAACCCAATCAAGGAAACGAGGACAAGTGGCTTTGGATTTTAGATAGTAAGGTTGGCTATTCCACAAAGTCAGCATACCAATTCCTGACATCAAGGCCTCATCGAACGGAAGAGGTACCATATAAAAAAATTTGGAACCCATTGGTACCTAACAAGATCTGCACGATGGTATGGCAGCTGGTGCAGAACAGAATTCCAACTAAATTTGAGCTATTTAAAAGAGGAGTTTTAAGCAACGAAAGCATGTTGACATGTGCTATGTGTGAAGAAGACGTGGAAACTTCAAACCACCTGTTTCTACATTGTCAAAAAGCACACAATATATGGGGAAAGTGTCTAAAATGGTGGGGAATATCTTCGGCACGAGCAAGCAACTGTCGAGAGGATTTTTCTCAACAATGGGGACAATTCACAGAAAACAGAGAAAGGGAAGGCTAGGTGATTATATGGTTCGCATATGCATGGGCCCTATGGCTGGCTAGGAACAATTGTGTATTCCATGGAAAGAAACTGGAGATTGAAAGGGTTTACAATCAGATTCAAGTCAGCTCATGGGAATGGGTGAAAGCAAAATGCAAGAACTGGGACGTCTCCCTCACAGATTGGATACTAGAGCCCAAAGAAAGTATGAAAAGGCTACGTGTCAAAAGGAATCAAATTTGTGCAGATAGATATTAACCATCACAGTATCAAGGAAGAACGAATGGAACTCCAGAGCCAAATATATCAACAAGGGAGGTTATGGCATTCTGGAAGGGCTGAGCATTTCTGAATCCCGACACGGACGTGGTGTCGACACTTTATTAGGGTGTCGACACTAAACGGAAGAGCTGAGTTCAAATCTCCGACACGGACATGGTGTCGACACATAATGTAGGTGTCGACACCGAACAGAAGGGCTTTTTGACTAACTCTTTGCCTTTCAAACTAAGATGTTTACGGGTTTGGGGTACCCCTTGTACTCCATTTCAATAAATATTTCTTTTGCTTTTCAAAAAAAAAATTATCTGATTATAAAATAACTACAAATATCAATCCAATAAATACAATTTTGGACCCCAAGGGGGTGGTTCAATAGTTAAAAGCTTAAGATTTCAAATTGAAGACTTTAAGTTCGAAACTTGAATTGAGTGGGGAGAGATTTAAGGAAAGGAGAGAGCTATCCTCTCTTATATAATCAATCATTATCAGATGTACAAAAAAAAAAAAAAATGAAATGCAATTTTGGTGGCCACAATCACACCCTTTGTTATTTGAGCCCTGCTTCGTAGTTCAAACTATATCGGACTACAAAATATGAATGACTA